ATTACTATCTTACTCCCACAAGACTATAAATTTCATGAGGGTGGGCAATGTATCTATTTTGTTTACAATGCCTGACACAGTGTGTACAAATTTTCTTGGAAGAAATGAAAAGAAGGAGGGAGAGAAGGAGGGAGATAAGAAGGAAAGAGGAAATGTAATAGGGAAGCAGGCAGAGAGAAGACAGAAACAGAGGAAGGGAGATCCCCAATGGGGCTACTAGGTAAGATGTATATTTGATACTTCCTCTTTAGTGGGAAAGTTGAAAGAGTTAGATATAGCTCTTATCTGAGGCCTTAATGCTTAAAGGCAGAAATTGAACATCAGAATTTTTTTCCATGGGATACTGCTGAGTTCAAAACACAGAAGTAGGTCCAAATGGGTCATCAGAGCAAAGGGAGTCTGAGGAGAGTATTAGGTATAGAGCAAAACGAGAATGGGAAAAGCAGGAGAGTTGAGGGAAAATAAGAAAAATCTAGCCCTGGCTGGGTGGCTCAGTAGCTTAGAGTGTGGTCCCGACACTCCAAGATTGAGGGTTTACATCCCTGTCAGGGCACATACAAAAATCAACCAATAAATGCATAAAGAAGCGGAATAATGAATCAATGTCTCTGTCACTGACTCTCTTTCTCTCTAAAATAAAAAGAAATAATCTATACAAATTCAAAAGAAACTGTAGGACAAGGCCACCAGCTGGGTTTATTTCTTGTACCTCGTGGCTTTTCATTCATGGGCAAGCAAATCTGATTAAAGGGACATAAACCACACACACACTTGATATATATGAACAAAAAAGGAGCCACATACTAAACCAGATAATCTAAGAGGAAGCCAGCATCGTAGGCCCTACAAACTCTAAAAGTAACCACATCAGATGGTCTGAACATAAGAATTCCTAACTAAAAGGGGCTCATGGCAGGTCCTAGGCCTGTAGCTTCCTTGACAAAGATCAGTCTTATTTGAGTAAGCCTGTCTATGGCCTTTTTGCATCTAAGATAACATACCTCTGGGATGTTTCTGTTGTGTGTGTTTTTTTTTTCCTCTTTGGAATGTCAGAGTAATCTCCTTTTCCAGACCCCTCAGGGCACCAGAGTAGAGACCACAGAAGCCCTCATTGTTATGTTGTTCCCAAATACCATCTCTCTGTGCTATAAATGTGAATTGCTAACTATCCTATACCCACCAATGTAAAAGATGTGTCTCTCCATTTTACTCTTTATCCAATCTCAGAGATTTCCCCATTTTGCTTTCTCCAGTAAATTTCATGTAAACCCCCTTATGGCTCCTACTTTGATTCTAATGTATAAAATAAACTGTAAAATTGCCATTCTCCAGAGCATTTTCTCAATTTGTTGAGATTTTGCTTCCTGGCAACTATGACATCTCTTTTGAAATTCAACTTTTTGAACCAAAGTAATCAAGCTCTTAATTTAACATTGACTTCTATTATTTCCCGCCTTAACCTGCAGCTCCTGGAGGACAGGGAGTCTCCAGTTCATTTTCTCATCTCCTGCTGAGTCTAGTACAATGACTTCAAATAGTAAACAGTCAAAAAGATTACTTAATAAATAGTATTACATTTTTCACAGGTGCTGGGAGTAATTACTCCAATGAATTTAGCTTCTTGAGGAAAACCTTTGTAGATCTGAATTCCTTCTGAAAATATAAAGAGTTGGAATAAATATATGCTAAGGCAGAGGTTGGCAAACTGTGGCTTGCGAGCCACATGTGACTCTTTGGCCCCTTGAGTGTGGCTCTTCCACAAAATACCACGTGCGGGCGTGCATGTACAGTGCGATCGAAACTTCGTGGCCCATGCGCAGAAGTCAGTATTTTGTGGAAGAGCCACACTCAAGGGGCCAAAGAGCCGCATGTGGCTTGCGAGCCGCAGTTTACTGACCACTGCTCTAAGGCATTTCCAAAATACAAACTATTGGAACAATGGTAAGGTTATGTCATATATATTCTATATAATAGAAGCCTAATATGGTAAGTGTGCAGTTGTCTGGTCATCCGTTCAACCAATCAAAGTGTAATATACTAATGATATAATAAGGCCGCTCAACTGCTCGCTATGACATGCACTGACCACCAGGAAGCAAATACTCCAACTGGTAGGTTAGCTTGTTGCTGGGGTCTGGCCGATGTGTACTGAGCGAGAAGGTCTGGACACGCCCTGGAGCACTCCTGCAGTCTCTCCTCAGCTGGCCAACCTCCCGCATCCCTCCCCGGCCCTGATTGTGCACCAGTGGTGTCCCTCGGCTTGGCCTGTGTCCTCTTGCAATCCAGCACCCCTCGGGCAATGTCAGAGAGCTGGTTTCGGCCTGATCCCACAGGCCAGGCCGAGGGACCCCACTGGTCATGAATTCATGCTCCGGAATATAGATAGATAGATAGATAGATAGATAGATAGATAGATAGATAGATATAGATATAGATATATAGATATAGATTTGGATATAGGTATAGGTATAGATATAGATATATCCTCTCTATCATTTTTAGTATATTACTGGGTACATAGTGGGAACTCAATAAGTGTTTGCAGTGAACTGACTCCAATATAGACATATTTAAGTTGAGAAGAAACAAAGATGTGTTTCTGAAGTTTCATATAAATTGCTTATGAAATGAACACTATGTAAAACCTACAAGAGAAATTTGTTATTAAATGGTTCCTAAGGTGAATATTTTTTACAATATTTGGAATTACTTTGCAATATAATAACTCCTTAACCTAATCATTTTTAAAGTTCACATTTTTATGTGTCAAGGTTGCTGATAATAGGATAAACCAGATTGGTGGCTTACAATTATAAGGGCACCAATCTACTTAACTATTGACTAAATCAAGCAATTATTCTGAGAGAATTGTCCCTTTCTAAAGTTCCCAAGATGATATCTATGTATTTACCTCTCTCTCTCTCTCCGCTTTGTGTTTTAACTCATAATTCAAATTTGGTAGATCTATCCTAAATTATAATGCTATGCATACATTTTTCACTTTCCAATACTCCTTTCCACATTCCTCCCCCTGTTTAACCACACGCCTCACCATTTGTGAAAATAGGTATGCCTTCCATGGTGTCATCCACAGTATCATCCACAGTATCTAGATTCTTCGAACCGTCTGCCTCAGGTGGTGGCTTTTGTATGAGCATGCTGGAAGTTGAAGCTTCCTCAGCTTCCTTTTGTATGAGCATGCTGGAAGTTGAAGCTTCCTCAGCTTCCTTTTGTATGAGCATGCTGGAAGTTGAAGCTTCCTCAGCTGAGAAACAACATGTTTAAGTCACCCTCATGGTGAGATTCAGGGAAGGCAATGCTCCTTATTCACTTTTATTCTCTCTATGCCTCTCAGGCCCTCTTTCCATAAATCTAGCGAAAAATTAGAAAAGTAATGACTCTTCTCAACAACTATCTTATCTCAAAAAGGTTCTACTCCTTTGATACAAACGGGGGAAAGCAGAAAACGTAACTAGATTCTTTGAGACTTGGGTAGAAGAGAAAGCCCGTTTTCTTTGGGACTCTTTATTTTACAACTTTCGGAGAATCAGTTACAATGGGAACAAGGACCCCCATAGATGAGCCCAGAAAGATGAAAATAATTCACAAAGGACAAGAAATCAACTACTAGCTCATGTCCTATAAATCTCATTCTCTCTCAATTCCCAAGTCCTCCTCATCTGCCTAGGGCTTATCTGCACGTATCAGGCCAAAATCTCACCTGATACTTGTACCAGGAAGTAAAACGACTGAGTGACAAATATTTTATCATGGAATAAATGTCAGTTGACCCCTAAAGCCTGCATTTACATTATTAGTAAGTCTCACAACCTGTATTGAGCCACCATTCAAGAGACAAAGGTACCTGTTCTCTGAGGAGTCCTGACTAATTGGCGAGATTGAATCACGCACATGAAAAATTTCAGATGCAGTTCCTCTTTATGCATGGCTGACTCCTAGAAATAGAGTTTAATCCAAATGAACAGCTTTGTGAGATGAGTAAGATGAACAAAAGTGACACAGACCAGGTATGTTCACTGCTAACAGGACTTATGACCTGACAGTCTAAACTTCAACCTACAAAGTGATACAAAAAATCTACTTTTATACACGTGACAGAGCAAGATCCCCTGAACTCAGCAAGCACTGCTTTCCTGCTGCTAAGAGTAGCTAAGAGGCTGGGGGCCTCCAGCAGCTTCCATTTCTCAAGTCTGAGCTCAGACTGTGGCTATCATTTGGGTCTAGAGTACCTACTTAGGAGCATTTCTGCTAGGTTTCTAGGCAGGCCCCAAAAGCTGAATGAACAAACATATTTCTCTCCATTATTTTCTCTTAAAAAGTATGACACATTTAAATAAACCTATAATATTTTATCTGAAGAAAAAAAAAAGTATGGCACAGATTACAGGTTAATCAATTCAGTCACAGGAACACCACCAGGGCCATTTAGTTCTTCAGAGGGCAGACCCTTTGGTCCTTTCCTCTCTTTATTTAGAAAAGTAGATCTCTGGTGGATCCCCAATAGCTTTCCTCACACCTACACCCCTGTTTCAAACTCCTCAAGAGTTCTGGGCGTTTTTACATGTTCAGAATCTAACCTATGCCAATCTGAAGCTCTCTCCCCCACCCCCTTCCCCCATTTTTCTTCTTTTCCCTAATGGCCAATCAAGCATGATGTGGTGCAGAGTACTGGGCTGCAAGTTAAGAAACTTATTTCCTAATCCCAGATCTCCTATACACTTTATAACTTTGGGAAAATATTTCACTTTTCTGAAACTGTTAAACTATCTCCAAAATCCTCTACAATCACTAACGTTCTGTGATTCTCAAAACACAATATAGCCTGAGCTTGATTGAGCTCTCAGGTCTGCATCTGCCAAGGTGGCAACAGGTTCCAGCAGATGAAAGGCCAGGAGAATGCTGCCATGGAAACTGGAGCTGTAAGCAATAATCGCCCACCGGAACCAGAAGACGGCGGGTGAGGGGGTCGGGGGAACAGAGAAAAGCGAAGGACGGAAGGCATACGAACAGTATTCCGGGAACAAGAAAAAGCCCAAACTGAAAGATCAGAGAAATTGTGACTGCAGCCTCAGATGCTTCCTAGGTTTCTGAGCCTGGTCACACTGCGCAGGCGTTCCGCGGGTTCTTCACTGTGCTCTTTGACCTCCCGCCCCAACCCCCTTCCTCCTCAGCCACCGAGCGGCTCTTCCGGTGTTGGGGAGGCGGTTCCGGTTCGCGGCCGTTCCCGGGTTTTACGTTCCGCGCCCGGCCGGAAACCCCTTCGTATAGCAGCCGGTTCCGGTTCGGTGAGTGGCGGCGGGAAGCTGGGGGAGGGGGAGGATGGAGGGAGCCTGGGCCGGGAAGTTGTGCTGCTCTGGGCCCCGCAACCTGGGCTGGGCTGGGCGGAAGCGAGGACGGCTGTGGGGACGGCGCTGTTGCCTCTGCCCCGCCCCCTGGGACCACCTCCCCTCCCCGGAGCTGTCCACCGGCGACCCGGCCGATGGCCGTTAGGCTCCGGGAGCCGTTCCTTCAGGCCTTTTCCTTTTGGGCGGTGGGAGGCGGTCTCCCCGCCCTTCCGGCAGCCCCCGTCTCGGCGCCCAGCTCTCCCGGGAAACAGGCCGGTTGGGATTTCGGGGCTTTCCCGCCAGAGCAGGGTCATCTCACGGGAAAGGTGTTTTCGCCGGGAAGATCAGCTTTTCTTTTCTTTTTTTTCCCCACCTGCTTCCTCTCCCGCCTTCCTTGAGACCTGACTGGTATTTCTCGACTGCTTCTGCGTCTCCCGTAACCATTTCTCCCACTCGTTTACTCTGTGGTATCTCCCCGAGATGTGAGGTCGCTAGTGCCACCGCCAGAAAGAAACGTCCGGACCCTCCTGCC